ATATATATATATATATATTTTATTTTATTATTTTTTTTTTTTGATGAATAGAAAGTTCAACAGAACAGCATTTATTTTAAAAGTCTTTATTGTCACTATTAATCAATTAAATGCATCTATGCTAAATACAAGTATTATTTTCTTTATTAAAAAATAACAATTTTACTTACTGATCCCAAACTTTTAAATATATACAGAGTTCTGGCATGAAACTCTAGATGGCGCAGGTCTAGGTCTAGGATAGGTCTAGCTCAATCTGACCTGGCGACATCATTGTCACACTGGCAGCTGATTGGTTCTCTCCTGTATCGGTAGCCAATGAGCTTACTGCTTAATATTCAAATACCTGGCTTTTGTTTGCTGTAGCAGTTTTGCAGCGCACTTCAGAAACCCTCCACCTTCCCCAGCTCCACCTGTATAGATCTGCTACGGGGTGATTCATGTATGCTATATGGGGGTTATTCATATGTGTTATATGCGTAGCAGCAATATTTCTTACATGCTTACAGCAGCATGTTGTGGATGTATTGACAGTAGCAAGTCTCGGTACTTGCTCTGCCGCAGCAGCAGCGTAGCAGATCTATTCCGCCAAGACCAAATACATTAACATTATCATGTACATTACCATGCCAATCCCTCCGAGAGTTGTCATGACAGAAATATGTACACATGTACACATATCCAAAAGAAGCCTCAGGTGAAAATATTGCATAAACAATTAAAACATGTCCTATGCTCACATTCCTCTGGCTTTAAAGGAAAACAGAAAAGCATAAGGCACACATCTCATTTCTAGTCTGAGCAATGTTCAGTCCTCCCCCTTCAACTCCTATAACCCTGCGACCAATGAGGAACTCTCAGCCTGTGATGTTAGGATCCATGCCAGCAAGTTCGGTACCGACAGGGTAAACACGTTGAGAGCAGATCAGAGTCAGGACAGCGAGTCTGGACGCGCTCTCGCCGCTGTGTCCCGCTGAACTTCTGTGAATGACAGACGTGCAGCAGACGGACACTAATCTCTCCAGAGTCCAACACGACTGTCTGGGTGAGTTTGCTCTGACTCTTTATGCAGCTTAAGATGGGATGACGTTTAAGCAGTTTGAGTTTACCTGTGAGAAATGTTAATCTCACACTCAGATATTAGTTCAAATGGTACATCTAATGCACTTTTTGAATGAAGAGTGCACTTTCTCTGAGAAAAATTGGCATTAAAATTCAGAAAGCTTGGCGTTTTTTTAGTGTTATTTATTGTTTTAGATAAGTTATTCTCTATTTTGCAAGGTCAAATGTACATTGTTATGCTGTAGACCACTTGTAATATTTAAAATACTACTAAGACTAAATATGTTTTGTTACATAATGTGTTTTTAAATAACTGTAGTTAACCGCGTCCCCAAAAGTCACACTTGAAAATGTTAAACACTTCTAGTGTTAGTGCATCATCCATAGTTAATGTGATTCTCTATATCTGTGATTACACATAAAAAAGGCTTTGTCAAAGTTGTAAATATAACAGTTATTGAAGTGCGTTTTACAAGAAAATACTCTGTTTTTCTGCTTCATATTTTCACTTCCACTAAATCCATGTGCTACTTGCTGTTTCTTTGTAATTGTTTGTGAAATCTACTAGCAATTTCTGAAAGAGAGAGAGAGAGAGAGAGAGAGAGAGAGAGAGGTTTCAAAGTAATTTCTACACCATTTTTTTTCGGTCTAGGACACCTGTGTGACCTGACTTTATATATCCACTAAAAATCACCAAAATGCCAACTGATTAAAAATCATTGAAAAATGATGAAGAAAAGTTAGTTAAGAGAAAAGCTCCTGCAGCATAGACGCTTGCTTTGTTATTTGGTATCTAATACATTTTTAAGTGTGAAAAAAGTGGCCACATACATTTTGAGGACACTGCAAATAATGTTTATTGTGATGAACACATGAAATATAACAATGTCCTTACATACAGTATATTGTAAGAGGTGTATAATGTGGGTATATTTCCAGTTATTCCACATTCTCTCATGCATAATCAACATAAATGTGACGTTTATTCCGGTCGGATGTCTTTGATACAAATGCAGTGGTTAAATTCCCAGAACAGGAAAAGTGTCCCAGTGAATGCTTGATGTGCAACAATGCCTGTGAAGATGAATGAAGCCTCAGTTTCGTGAGGTTAATGAATAGACTTTTGCCCTTTATTAAGTATATTATGTATGAAGGGTGAGGTGTATCAGAGGGCGTTACTTTCTATAAAGCCCCTTCCTGCTGTCTTTTTATCTGAACTATGACAGGTATGATCAGTTTCTTTAATAGGTTCCCCTCCCTCTCTCTCTCCACCCTCCAGATATGTTAGATTGAGTGCTTTAAATGGTCACATGCAGGTTAGGTGCTCTAGTTAGGTGGTTATATTGTGTTTCAGAGCTGGTGTGACTAGAGGACAGTGACATGCTCTTGTCATGTCTTATCTGTGTTTGTTCAGAATCCTGTGAGTGAGTCAATGAACACAATTGTTTCCTCTTGTTATGTGTAGACAAATCTATACAAAGTGTCTGAGCAGCTGGCTGAAATTACATTTAACAAGACGCCTCACCACCAGTGTGTGTTTTCTGACAGGACAGAACATTTTTGGGGCTTGATTACATTGTTTTACCTGAGGCAGAACCACACACCACACAGGGCAAACCCTCATCTTTGACTATCTGTTGAAGTATAGTCATACAATATTATTTATTTATTTATTTTTGTTTATATATTTTTTACATCATAAACAATCATCTGGTCTTCACTAGCTTCTATAATTATACAAATCTAATTATGTGGTACGGAGCCTCGCACATGGCATGCAGGAAAAAAATAGTAGGCTAAATCTTGTGCACGATTTACTATTTCGTTCTCTCGATTTATAAATTGTGTCCACGATTTACTATTTCGTTCCCTCGATTTATAAATTGTG